CGGTACGTACCTTACAGCAGCTCAGGCACCCTTGGCGGTTAGGTTGCCCCAGATCAACTTCTCAAGCCCGATTCTAAAATGTTCCGCGTATCGACTCGGAGCGAGGCTTAGGGTAGCACGCGACAGTAAGATGCAACTTTGAGGATATCACGCGAGGTGCAAGGTCGATGAAAGAAAGCGATGAAAGCAAATCTCTTTATTAGATTGCTTGCTTTATTTGGCTGCTCGTTACTATTCTGGCCAACGCACATAGAATCAGCAAACAAGCACATAGTGATTCAGAAACACATCAACAGACCATTTCACTGTCGACAATAGTTTGAAGCCAAGTTGCAAGCTTTTATTGTGCCTTTATGATCCGAAAATCTCATTATCTATTCTTTAAAGCAAAAGCATCATCATGCTACCTCTTTTCCTAGTGTGTCTAGTTCCTCCTTAATGAACTCGGCAGCATTCATCATCTCTGTGCTGCCATATACAACCCTCTTCTTAGCCCTGTCGCCTCCTGTTCGACTCACCCACTCCTGCAAGTTACCATATTCATCTATGCTGCCACCGCCAATTGTGAAAACGACAGCTTCACTGAATCCTTGTCTTCTTTGACCAAAGCTAGCTGTCTGTCCGGACACTTGGGAACCAGGCATGCCGCCTGGAGTAGCTCCAGCCCCGGACCGCATAGCACTCGGTGGAGGCACGGTACCTCGAGCATTGGCGGATCTAGGATCGTAGTACTTGTAGTCCTCCGTCTTGGCAATAGCCGAAGAGGAGGCTGACGAGGGGTCCATGATCGATTCGACGATCTTCGTAACTGTAAAATCGCGATCGGCAGGGAGGAAGTTTTTCACACCGCTGATGAGACTCTCAAAGTTTGATGAAAGACCAGTGGGCACTCCTGATTCTTTGAGGCGGTCGGTGAGACGAGATGACATAGATGAGAAGCGGCCGAAGAGATCCGAAGTTTGAGCAGGCTGAGCAGTGTTGTTGTTGATGGTAGTGAGTTGTGTCATCTTGGTTGTAGCGCGAACCCTGTCCTGGTCAGTATGCGCAAGACAAATCAATGCTTTTCAAAACTTACTGTCGAACGTAGGGCAGACATGATACATCCGCGCCAGCTTCTGAGAGGGCCTTCTCGAAACCCTCGAATTCTTGTCGGCTCACTTCTTGTTCTGTACTCAAGTACCAGATGATGAACAATCGCAGCTTATCAACGGGTTCAGAACCCTTGGTACTGTCACTAATGATTTCCATAATCTGAGGTTTGGTCTGCTTCACAACATTCTCCTCCAGTTGGAAATAGTTGTCAAGCTGGCGGTCCTTGATTCCTGTCAGCAAAGCTGCCAGGATGTTCATATGCATGTCGAGAATGCCTTTGCGCTCTCTCATTTCAGGAAGCAACGTTATTGCCTCCTTGAGATGCTGAGCGCTAGCGCTGGTATCGGCCTGCAAGTCCTCAAAATTTGTGACACCAGTCCTTTTCGTAATCGCAGCTGTTTCTTCTTTGTATTTGGTCAATTCAGCATCGATGTCCTCCGCTACCTGAGGAAAAGGACTGCCGGCGTTCTTGGCCCAGAAAAAGTCGTTTGTAGTCAAATCGTAACCCTTCTTCATGGGGCCCTTGGCAGGGTTTCCTTCTTCCGCAGGGCTTTCGATGGTGATGCGATTGAGCTTCATGTTGAGAACATCATGAACCAGACTTTGATATGTCCAAGAATGAGAAAGCATTGGCACCAAATCAACGTTTCGATCGAGAAGAATGAGTACGGGTCGGGAAGAGTGAGTACTGGATGAAGCGTTCGTTCGTGGTCCAGAGAAAAGATTGTCCTTAGAGTTGAGGATATGATCTCGGAGTTTTCGGTCGAGTCGCGCGGCGACCATCTCTGCAGCAGCGTCTTTGGGGCATCGGATAATAGGAATGACTCCTGTAAGATTTATCAGCATGCTGGGTTGAATATAGAATGTCTGGCCTACCCATGGTAGCAATCACACTGAATAGACCGCTGACGATCTTATCCACTACGCGATCAAGCTCCTCGTCGCTGGTGTTTGCACTGTTCAATGCCCAATACGTATGCTCTTTTTGCATGCCCAGACTGAATAGATCTGGTTCGGCGACAATGAAATTTAAATATTGGTCAAACAGTTGAGCAATGTGTTCGGATGTACCAGCAGCAGCGGTTTGTGTAGCGAACTCCTCGAGAAGGACACGGGGGAGGGAGGAGAGGAAGTTGATGTAAGCGGGAGTGTAAAGTCCTTTCTGCAAGTCGGATGTAATGGCCTGGAGGTTTTGCGCATTCGGTTCGAGGAGGTAGATGACTGGGACATCGGGGATAGGGTGCCTTGCGCCGCCAATGTGCCTGCGCAGCTCATGTTAAACATTGTATATCTTCGTGAGGCTCTTCGACTTACATGTGCATGGTTACGCCCATTGACCGCAAGTCGCTGACGCGCATAACACTGCTGATAACGTCCCGACCGAGGTCATCAAAGACCAGTACCTTCCAGATAGGGTTGCCATCTGAATCGAGGATAGGCGCAACAGGAGCAAGGAGACCGTTGGCATGGGCTTCGTCAGCCTCGGAAGATTCGACACTTTCGTTCAAGTTGAGGATTTTCTTGAGCGACGCTGAGAAATGGATTAGTTCAAGAATAAAGGGCGCACTGAGTGTTGAGCATCACAAACCTATTTGGCGATCGCGCAGAGAGTTTCCCTTGGTTGCCATACTGGCAGATGACGTCGGGGCTTCGAGAGCTCAAGGTGGTGATAGTGGGATGTGATTCAGGAGAATGGCCAGGTCGCTTGTTTCCAGATGACTCGATTGTTGGAGGTTACCTGAGTCGAAACAAGATATTGCAACCTTGAAGAATCCTAGGCACAGAACCTGAGCCAATCTTCAACTCAAGAAAACGTATCGATTAGGTTGGTGGCAGCTTGAGGCCACGATCCAATCCTACGGTTGCTGGAAAGCTTCCCCGATGGCGCGCAAGCTGGAAGCACGGACCGATACAAGCGCCGACACGATTGGACATGGAAAGTGCCACGGTGCTGGGCCCGCTGGTTTCCAAAGGGGCACTTGCCAGATCAGTTGCCCACCGTCATGATCGTGTTTGTGCCTGAAATATGGGGCCACATCATAGCCAAACACGTCCAGGTCGAGCTCCATGCGAAATCGCCAGGGACTTCTCTTCATTCTCTTCGATCCGACGACACTTCATCAACCACCATCAACCATCGCGACGAACGCTGACTGGCGCTCAGCAGGTCAAACGCGTTTATATATAAGCTGCGCTTGGTATTTTAATTCCCATCTTTGTGCTCATCATCCAGATCTGCGCCCGCGTCAAACGCCTTGTCCTGGCGAACCAACGGGTCACCCTTGTGCTGCTCTCTTCGCCTCGCCGACAGGTCACACCTCCGTTCGATAATGTTGTAAACACCACGCGACTTGCTCAATATACAGATGGCAATAGAGTTGCTCCGCATCTTTTGGTAGGAAGACGGACAGAGTTACTGTACTGAAGGAGCCTTATCTGAATCAAAGGGTATGCCCAAACTTGACCCCATTCCTTTTCCACCCTGCACCAATCAACCTCTTTGCCTCTGTCGCGTCATTCGGCATGGCTCGGTCATACCGCCATCATGAACCAAAGCAGCAGCATTGTATCTGTGATTTCTCTATAACAATGGAACCAACCACCACTTGGACTCTCTGCAGCATTTAAATTGCGAGATGAAAAGATGGTTTGCCGTCGTGGAGACTTGCTTGGAGATAAAGCTCCTTAGCATCATCTTCTAGGGGCGAAGAGCTGTGGCGGTTGGGTAACCCAGAGAGGTCCAGGAGACGAAAACCAGGCATCTACAATCTGGCCAGTTTTCAGGCGAACGCGCACCTAAAAAAGCTGCGGCACGAGTATTTGATGATATAAAGAGCATTCATTCATTCATTCATTCATACAGAGTCAAAAAGGGCGTCATGGCTGTTGATCATCGTCTTTGCGACGTTGCAGGCGCCTGTCTTTTCAGGCGCTTGCTTGGGTACAGGGGCTGGAAATAACGCTGTCTTCAGCTCCAACTTCTGCTCAGCGGCACCCCAAGACAGCAACATCACAGGGACTACGCTACACTAAAATGCGGGTGCACACGCATCTGAAGGAAACAGTGGCTCCACCACCAAAGTCATTCCAGAATGCCACTACCTACTACCTATTTTCCAACAAAGCAATCTGAATTGCTTCAGAGATCAAATTATTGCGACAAAGCCAATTCTTTAACTTTGGTTCGAGTTTATCATTCTCGATCTTTTTTTCTCGAGTTTCTTTGTCGACGAGCCTGTCGCACTCAATTCTTTGTCCAACCTTTGATCAACCAGCCATACACCCTTCTAAACCAACGGCCTCTTAATGGAAGATGGATGGATGCTCTTCATCAACGCTCTCTACGCCTTAATCCTGCAGAAAACTCACGAGAATCCTTTTATACTATTCTTCACATCACTTACTACACTACTGACCTGCTATTTCCTGTTGCAGACTTTGCTGATGTTTTTTTTTTGCTTTCTCTAGACTTTCAGATTCATTCACCTTGTCCCATTCCCCAAGACCTCGACCCTTGTCCGTTCGTCCGTTTATCGACTAGCGTATTTCTATGGTGGGCCACCTGCAGCTGCCATAGCCGAAGGCCTCTCCCTAACAGCAAAATACTTGCATAAAGTCTCTCGTCAGCTTAATTTCTGTATGTCAGTACATTATTTCTCGCCTTTCAGATAGGGCAACGTCAACCCCTAGCCACACCCTCGCGTTGCACAAGGCTCAACTGACTGCCCTTACTCATTTCCTTCATAACGTCCTTCGCGTTTTTACATTCGCACCTCATCTTAAGGTAGCAATGTTTGCTAATACCATACAATAGCTCTTAAAGCTGTTCAGGATAATTGACCCTTGGTCTCCGTGGCCGTATTGCTGTTGTAGCAGCTGCCTCTTCTAAACACAGCATCTATCACAAGATGCAGTCTTGGTCAAACAATGGCCAAAACGGCGCCGATGAGACACAGCATCAATGGCACAATAACTATGCCTTTGCAGGCCAAAACGGCCAATTTGACCCTCATCAGCCTTGGTCACAGCCTGTGAGCGAGCAGGCTGCCTACTCACAACTTAATCCTCAAGATGCTTCCCCATCAAACTTTTTCGACTCTGACCAAAGTCACCCCTTCCTCTCAAACCCTCTGCATGGCTCTCCACAGGACCAAGCAAGCTACCACCCAAGCCATGACTCTCTCTCCATGAACCAACAATATCCACAACAGTCACAAGATGTAATGGAGACAGATTTTAGTGGAATTCATCCTGATATCTACGGTCAACACGGCAAAATAAACCTGGATAACGCCATGACTGGTATTGGACAACTATCAAGTCATCCTCATTCTACCAATTTCCCATATTCTATGGCACCACAAAATGAGTCATCCTTCGAACCTTCTATCCAGCAGCAGTTTTCTCAGCAGCATGTAATGCCACAAACAAGTAGGCAGCAGAGTCATACACCAGTGCAGCAATTTGACGGTATCTCGTCTGCCTATACCCCAGGCCATAACTTCAGTCGACCGCCACAGCCATCCCCGGTCCAGAATCAGCAACAGTACAACCAAGCTGCTTTTTCACCTCCAGTGAACGGCCAGACGCCTCAACCACGGCCGAATGAACAACTGAACTTCCAACAAGGCCATCCGCAAGCACGACAGCAACCTCAGCCTCAGCCTCAACCTCCTCAGCAACCTCCTCAGCAACCTCCTCAGCAACCCCCTAAGCCTCAACAGCAGATGCAACAAAACCAACCGCAACAAACACCACCACAGCCTCAGTTTGCCACTAAGCAACCTGTGGTCTATCCCCAGACCTCGCAGCCTCTGCCTGGTCAGAATTTCCAGCAATCGATACATCATCAGCAGCCACCCCACTTCATCAACAACGCCACATCACCACCCACAGCTAACACGCAATACATTTTGTCACAACCAGGCACGAATCAAGATACCGGGGCCCTTCAACCTGCGACGAACGAACCGCCTCCTAAGAAGAGGAAGCGGGCAGCGAAGACTGAAGTCAACACTCCTACCCCCACTCCGGAGCCCACTGCAACATATATCGACTCGCCTGTTGGGTCTCCTGCTGTGAAAAAGATTGATGACCTCGATGGCCTCTCAGCTCCTACGCCCACCCCCGAAGAAGCCCAGTTAATCAATCAATTTAATAAGCGCACTAAGGCCGCCCAAGCCAAGTTTCCTGCTATCAAAGGGCTTCCTCATTTGGTTCTTGAGGGAACAATTAAGCTTCCCGCACCTAAGAGCTATGATAAGCTTGCCCCTCTTGTGGCACTGCCACCCCGTAGCGGAAGACAGATGGTCCCCGAACTTGGTTACAGTCTTCCATGTGAAGTCCAGGGGCGTTTCACCAGCCAATACCGCCCCTCTCCAGACAAGGGTGGACTTGATGAGAGGCGCATGGAGGCCAAGGTGCTTTTGGATGACTTTGATCGTTCCATGAAGGGCTTAGGCAAACGGCGTCCCAAATACACGGAGTACCCGCATGCTTTCAAAGAGCAACTTAAATCTGATGAGGCTTCGAAGAACAAAGCCGAGAAAAAGGCAAAAAAAGATCTTGAGGAAGAGCGCGGTAAGCCCGTAAGTTATTCGGTACAGTCTTTCGTAGGTCCTATGGTTAACCATGTCCAGATCCGCGCAGCTACCCGCCCAACCGACCCTGCTGAAGCAGCTGCCTGGGATGCCATCGGGATGGTGCACATCGAGCAGTCTGTTGCACGTACCAATGCCCTGATTGCAACCCGTGTTCAACAAGCAGGCGAGTATTTCATCAAACTTCGCAGCGAAATGAACCGTGCCAAGCAGGATCTCGACCAAGCTATCAAGGACAAGAAGCCGGAAGGTGTGATTGCAAAGGACCGACAGGACTTTGACCAAAAGAAAGAAATACTCTACCGAGCTTTGGATGCCACTATTGAGCATGCAGATGATGCGGTATTGGATAACCTCGGCGGCCACCAAAAGCTAGTTTTAAGTTTGGTAAATGCACTGATCATGTGTATCAAAGCGAGTGACTTTTCGGGAAAGCTCCCTAAGATTGTCCTTGAGATGTTTACACATTTTCCTATGACGAAAAAGATCGCTGAGACAACGAACTTTGAAACAGTGAGGAAACGGTTTGCCGACAAGGGAGACTCGGAGGTCAAAGAACTTGTATCAGAAATTACAGTCAAAGTCAAGAAGCTCAAGGCCAGTGAGCCCGAAAGCACAGGCTATCAAGGCACTTCAGCGTCCAGCAGAGCAAAGGCTAAACCGGGGACGGAGCCTTCAGCCAAACGTGGGCGAGACGAGGAGGCTGAAACAAGAACGGTTAAAAAGATTGCAGTAGAATCTAGCGGCAATGCTCTTAGCAGGAAACTTGCCCAGCCCAAGATTCAACTTCAATCAGCATCCAAAACCAGTGCAGCGAAGGCAGCAGCAGCTTCTATCCTGCCTGGCAAACCCAGACCAGTAGCCAAACCTGCACCAAAGCCTGAATCAAAAGCAGACGTGAAGGTCATAAGTGACGACAAGATAAAAGCAGAAGCGAAGCCACCACGAAACGAGACGAAACCACCGGCACCTCGAAATGGGACTACAACCGCTCCGACCTCAAGCTCAGCCAGCGCCCTTTCCGGCATTGCTTCGCTCTTGGACTCGATCAATGCACCAAAAGCCGAGGCTCCTGTTGCACCGAAGGAGACAAATGGGTCTGAAACCTCTGAATCACCTGAAGAGAAGGCTAAGCGTCTTCGGAAAGAGGCTCGCCGTAAGCTTCGAGTCAGCTGGAAGCCTGAAACTGAGCTTGTTCAGATCAGAATCTTCCAGAAGGAAGATGCTGAGGACGAAGGACGAGAGTCGAACATGACCCGAGATGCCGGCGACGACCGATCTGAGGGAATGGTACTCAAACAACGTGCGAACGTAGAGGAAGAAGAGGATGACGAAGACGTTCCTTATCAACCTTGGATGGGACCTGTCGCAATCGACTTCTCTAGGCTGCCAACAGACGTCCGAAACAAGAGCTTTGTTACCCGAGGCGGAAATGTCACCTTTACAACAGATGAACAGCAGCGCATTGCGGATAGGGAGCAACGGGAGCTCGTGGCTATCTACACTGACCCCGATGACATACCGCCCTCACCCAAGTCACCGATACTCGAGGCTGCCAAACCTGATCAACAGAAGACACAATATCTGCCCGATGATTCAAAGTTCCAAGAGATCCAGCTTCGATGGCGCGATGAGCAGCAAATGGGATCTGATGGAGCACTCTACACAGCCCTACAACGCATCGAGGCGAAGAACAATCCAGCAACTCGTCTCGATTCGATTCTGGGCAACCTTCGAGGTGTCGCTTCGGTGGCCCGCACATCTCCTCCACATGCCTCTCACTCACAGCCCCATCCGGCCTTGGCTAATGACACTCTACCTCTTATCGCTGGCCGTGCCGTGTTGGAACAGGTCGTTGCGTTGCTCAAATCCGACAAGGTTAAGAGCTGGCGAGACTCGAACCCAATCACGAACGATGTCTGGCGTGCCTTCCATTACTCTGACATGCCTACTCGCCTTTGTGGAGGTGCCATTGAAGGTGTGGCCAAGTCTCTCTCAGGCATGCCATTTCCCAGCAATTCGCCTCCAGAATGGATTCTCCACGATCAAGAGAAGGTCCGCGAGTGGCAAATGGGGCACAACAAAGAACTGGTATCCCGGCAGAAAAGAGCAGACGAAGAACGTGCGCGCGCAGAAGCAGAGGCCAACGCCTTGCACGCAGCAGCTGTCGGTGCTTCTTCTGGCCAAGCCCCAGCTAATCCTCAGGACTGGGCGGCCTATTATGCTCAGCAACAACAGGCTTATGCGCCTTACATGGCTTTGCTGCAGCAAATCCAGCCCCAGCCCCAGCCCCAGCCCCAGACGACACCTGCACCTGTGCAGCAGCAGCCGCAAATTCCTGATACCCAGCTCCAGTCTATCCTGGCCGCTATCAACCAGCCGTCGCAGGCCTCAGGCCAAACCTCGACCGCGACCCCAAATGTCGCTTCATATCTCAACCCCAACGATCCATCATATCAGCAGTACATGATGCTCACCCAAATGGCACAAGGACAGCAAGTCCCGCCTCCGCCTCCACCACCCACAGCGGAACGAGAATGGGATAGAGACAGAGCATACAGCCGAGATAGAGACCAAGATCGAGGTTGGGACCGTGAACGGACGTATGACCGCGACCGTGATGACCATCACGGTGGTAGAGGAGGTGATGGAAAAGACGGAAGGAAAAAGAAGCCTACTCTACCACCACACAAGCCTGCTAACAAAGCACTCATTGGCACCAAGCCTTGTACTTTCTGGCAGCAGGGCAAGTGTGCTAGAGGAGACAAGTGTACATTCCGACACGACTAACGATGAGCTATATAAAGCTTGTTTACTATATTGAACCTGGCTTGGAGTTTAGAAGTGGGATATATCATGGTGTATTTTTAATGTAACCAAAAATTAGCATCAGCCAAGGTCAATCGGGGATCAAGACATTGAATTTCCTACATCATGTACCTGAGGGCGTGAGAAGCGCCATTACAAGAAGAATAAAGACATTTCATATTTCCAGTCGTTTACATAACTGTGATTCTAATTTTAACTGTACAAGGATGGGCCTGATAACTACGGATGTTTGTATCATTGATATATGCTCTCAGCTTTTAGATGTCGGATATTCAACCTGTATCAACGAACGACCTACTCGGCAGCAGCCATCTCCGTGTCACCCTCTCCAGCCCTTTTGACCAATCCACGCAGGCTCAGGTCATAGACAACATCCTCGACCCTCTTGACGTCATACTTGACAGCATCTGCTCGCTTGCGGAGAATGTCGTTCTTGAGGTTGAGAAGCTGGAACCCAGCGAAGAGATCCTTGATGAACCCGCTAATAACGAGAGGAAGCTCGAAGTCTCCGAGGGTGACAGCGTTGGGAGCCAGACGGGCAAGCTCGTTGGTGAGGTCAGTCAGAGATAGGAGATACTCCTCGATGGTGAAGTGGAAGGCATCGCGGTCCTTGAGGTTTGTGGGCACTGGGGGCATGTTAGCGTCAAGGTTTCTAGTTAGTTTGGAGATGGCTCGCGAACCCTGGAAGACCTCGCCAACTTGCTCGAGAGTGAGAAGGCGACCGAGAGAAGCAGGCTGGGCATCAGAGCCTAGACCGCCGAGCCAGGCAGTGTAGACAGCGGTGCCGATAGCATTTTGAACGGTTCTCGCCCACTTGCTGTTGTATCTATCGCCGAATCAGATTTTGTTTGACGCTTTTTGACATGGCTGCGAGGACGTACTTGTAGTATGGATGCTTGCTAGCCACCTCATTCAGCTCCTTCACAATAGTGACCTCTTCCTTGATAGCATCCTCAACCTGTGACACAAGCGCAGGGTCTGTATTTTCTTTAATCAGCTTCGCGCATCACGAATTGGGACACGGGAAAGACTGACAGCGAGCGCGCGGCGTTGAGTGGACGCGAGAGAGAAGACCTTGAGCGGTGGCAACGGCGCGCTCGAGACGCTGGATAATCTGGGTGAGGTTATCACGAACGGCGGTCTCTTCATCGAGCTTCTCCTGGAGGTGGGAGAAGATGGAGGGATCGAGCAGAGGAGTCTCGGAGGACATGACGGCGGTTTGAGGGAGGATGAATGAGGCTCTGCGGATGAGGCTCTGGAGAAGATGGAGATTGGAGCTACGCTAGTCGTCGATTGTTTATTCAGATGACGGGCGATAGGTATTTGCCCAGCACGAGGTTTGTGATGATCACGAAAGGAATCTACTACAACGTGGAAATGGAGGTGCCGAGGCATATCATTTAAGTATCTAGGCTACAATCACTTTAATTCAGTCATCGACATCACACATCACAACAAGATCCAGAAGATGGGAGAGTTCTTCCTCACTGCCCAGGCAAGCCCGAGCAAGCAACGAAAAACAAAGAGCTCAAAAAGTGCATTCGCGTCACCTGGAGGCAGTGTAATACCAGGGACACTGTGGGCGGAATCATGTGCAAGCACAGCGGAGACCACCCGAGTTTCAAAAATAGGAATAATCACGATTGATGTCCTTAGACATCTTTCAGAGATTAAACTGAAAAGAACAGATACTACACTTGATCTAAGCCAAAAGGCAAAGAGAGCTAAGGAGGAAAGAAGAAAGGAAAAGCGTAGCTTGGAGGGCCAGGGCGAGATTATATACTGGATCTGAAGGCGGTGAGGCAGTGAGTGATCTGAAGAGTGGCAGAACTTGAGCCAATGAAAAGTCAGGATCTAGCAGGCTGAGAGTGCTGCCTGTTGATTCACAGTCGGTTGGGGCGCTCCACCGAGAGTTGAGCGCGCAGGCAGAAAAGCTTCGTGTGAAGGCCTGAGGCTGCATGTACTTTGCGAATGCTACCTAAGAACCGAATTGCATGGTGACACCAGAAGAAGCTTCTGTGAAGCTGAGACGAGCGCTCATCTAAGAAGTGTATATCGGCATTACACAAATACCTAAGGGAGCAACCTATTGACAAACTAGCTCCCGCACTTACTGAAGTGTACTCGTTGCAAGCCTTCTCCGAATCAAAGTATGAAGAACATAGACACAAACCAAAACTTTACGATGAAACCGCATTTCATGACCTCGTCTCCCCCATAAGAATCCACTAATGTCGGCTCATGTCAAAACCCAATTTTCCAGCCAAGGCGAAGCTCGTTCCGTCCATTCGAACTTCCTTTACTGAGATGTTGCCCTGATGCAGCTTGCTTGCCCCAAGCTTCGAGTTATGCTTCCTCCACACCACAACCAATATTCACATCCTGACCACTAGAGATAACTTTCATGTTCACGATCTGCAACCTTGGCAAAGGTCCAAATGTGCTCCGAGTTCCAATGCTTGCCAAGCTTCAACGCCGACTGTTGGTGGTGCTCATGGAATGCCCATCGTGTGTTGCGCCGTTCCGAGAACTTCTCATTAGAAAACCGGCCAGTCCGATACATGCATGCCTAGCTTCCCCAATAGTCTCTGATATTGAATACTATCTGCTATACTTCATGTATTCTCGAAACGGATGGTCTGAAGACTCCCGATGCGGCCCGCGGGTGGGTTTCTGGCCTGAGACACCGTTGGCTCTAAAAGCGATCAACCAGCGCATTCCGATATTTGGGTCGCGTCATTGGTCTTTGCCCTCAGCTAATGGTTTAGCTTTGACGAAAGCATGGATAGCAAATGTCAAGCACCTAAGGACCAACAGGCGAAACATTGGTCAACTGATGGTCTTCTTCAAGCTGGAAGACACCCAATGGCCGACTTATAGCTTGAAGCTTGGACAGTATTTGACCAGAGAAACGCGAAGAGAGGCGCAAAGACCACCGTTTTTGCTTGTGAGCACCTCATGTAAGGAATGAAAGACACGAGGTCAAGGTTTGCTCACATATTCGCATTACCTTCGATTCGACCTGACGAGACTTCCAAACTCGAAGTCGTTATCTTTTGATAGGGGATGCAAACTTGCCAGCGTGAGTCCTACCATGTGTGAATGTCCAGTGTTTGTCTGTAGTACAGGCTTCTCCCGCGCTTCTAGAATAGATGGTTCACCAGTTCCATGGCTGAGGGTTGTCAGCACCTCCCTCAAGCGCCGTGCTTCCTGATATGGCAAATGAGGTTCCGCCTGAAGAAAGGGAAACAACCTTTCAGAGATTAAAGGGCTATTTGGGAAGGAGTAATACCCAGGACCCGCTCTGTCGGAATGGTTGTGAAGGATTGTGCTGCTGCTGGTTGGTGGTACCTGCCATGAACAATATGAAGTGGCTTAGTATTGTTCTTCAGCGCCCACCTCCAGAATGGGAATATGAAGAATAGCCACAACTCCAACACCAACATCCTCACAATTGAAGCTGTGATATATGATTCATATCTTGACTTTGATGTCATAATATGATATCCAAATTCGATATAAAAATAATCAGTTCCCTCCGATGATTGAACATCTCAGCAAGTTCTCAAACTCAACTTGACGAGCAAACCTGCAATCTTCATATCGACATCTCTTTACAATTCAATCTCTGTCACCATGTTGGTGACTAAGTCTCTCAAGGTCTGGGGCTTACTCTTTAGTGCCACCTCTGTTCTGGCAAGCCCAATTGTCCTCGAATCTCTGGATGAGACCCCTGCCGACTGGCAGGAATCCGACTCACCAGACCCTGATCAGATCATTGACTTCTCTATTGGCCTCCAGCCTGAAGATAGCCAGCTGCTTGATACTGCTCTCTATGGAGTCTCAGATCCCGACCATCCCAATTACGGCAAATATCTCTCTCGAGAATCTGCCAAAGCACTCCTTAATCCATCTGAAGAAGCTACCGAGTCCGTCAAGCGTTGGCTTACAGATGCCGGAATCCCTGAGCATCATGTCCGTGACGAGGGCGAATGGCTCCATGTGCGCACGACTGTCAGTCAAGCCGAAGGCATGTTGAGCACTCGCTTCTCTGTCTTTGCTCGCGACAATGAACGAATTGTCAGAACCAGAGAGTACTCAGTTCCTCATGAGATCGTCCAGCATGTTGCAACCATTCAGCCCACCACATTCTTCCCTGTCTTTAATAGCGAAGGGAATGTTGAGGGACCTGGGCTTCGACTCAGGAAGCGAGATGACAAGTACGGAAAGAAGCCGCCGAAAGATGGTAACAATGGCGGCCCGGGACCTATCAACTTAGAGAAGTGCAAGACGGAACTGACGCCTGCCTGTATTCGAGAGATCTATAAGATGCCAAAGAACTATCCAAAGGCGGAGAAGGGCTCCTTATATACAGTCGTCAGCTTCCTCAACGTAAGTATACTTGGCGTCTTGGTAAGCTCTTTACTAATGGGTGTTAGATGACTGCTCAAAACGCACAGCTTCAAGAGTTCTTCCGACGCTTTGCCCCTGACCTCGAGGGCGTCACTTTCCGCAATGCATCTGCAGCAGGTGGAGAGAACCCACAGAGTGCCAGAATTCGAAGCAACGAAGGGAATTTGAACACCCAGTATGCCATCTCCTTGGCCCACCAAGTCCCAGTAGAACACCTTACTGTCGGAGGCTTCAATTACGACTTCAATCCAGATTTGGAGTGAGTATCTTTGGGATCATTTAAATAGGAAGCGCTAACTGATATCACAGCTTGCTCAAAGTACCTGGAGACTTCACTCGATCTATTGAGAATTGGCTCGGATTGGCGGAGTATCTCTTGAACCTACCAGACAAGAAGCTCCCACAAGTTGTTTCTATTTCATGGGGTAACTACGAGCAACATATCCCCAAGACATATGCTCGACAGGTTTGCAACAAATTTGGTCAGATCGGCACACGTGGTGTCTCAATCCTAGTTGCAGCTGGCAATTTCGGCGTTGGTGTCTCATGCCAGTCAAATGATGGAAAGAACACTACGAAGTTCCTCCCGACTTGGCCCAGCGTCTGCCCATATGTGACGTCTGTTGGCGGCACAGAGAGCAACAGCCCCGAAAGGGCTTGGTTGGATACTGAGTATGATCAATCTGGCGGCGGCGGCTTCTCAGATCTCTTCTCCCGCCCGGCGTACCAGGATAAGGTCGTGAAAGACTATCTGAAGAAGAATGAGCAGAAATGGAAGCCATGGAAGAACTATATCAACAAGGACGGAAGAGCGTTCCCCGATGTTTCTGCTCTCGCAAGTGGCCATCAAGTTATGGTTAACGGTCAACAATTCACTGCAGGTGGAACCAGGTAAGTTATGTGTTCTTTGGGGAGTAAGAAAACATCGGACCTCGATCGCAGTAAAAGGTATCCTAAGCTTATGCCAAGTTACCTAAGTCTTGTCAATTTGGATCGAGGCTCCGAGTTTTCTTTCCTCCTCTGCCTAGCCAACGTAGCTGACACAATGACTCTAGTGCGGCAACCCCTACAGTTGGTGCGATCATTGCTTTGCTCAACAACGAAAGGTTCAAGAAGGGCAAGTCTGCGATGGGATTCCTGAACCCCTGGCTCTACAAAACAGGCCAGGCAGGATTTACCGAGTAAGTATCCGAATAGTTGGCGTCGTTGAAGAGTCGCTAACCCAACCTCTAGCATCTTGGAAGGAAAGACGTCAGGCTGCCCCGGTGTCAGTCTGGAAGGGTTCCCTTCCCCCGAAATTCCCAATGCGGGATGGGATGCCGTCAAGGGGTGGGATCCCGCTACTGGCTTCGGAACTCCGCGATTTGACAAGTTGAAGAAGCTTGTCACTTAGGAAGAGCGGGCTACTAAGAAGGATAACGGATTGTCCAAGAAGCGGCCGGAGGTAGGAACTGATTGTAGCGATATGCTCTAAGGAAGTGATGCGAGGTGGCTACAATGTAGAAGAGGAGGTCAAGGTGTATACATAATTCGATTCTAGCTAATCTCTAAGAGATATAACGTAGACAACAAGAACATTTTGCGACAACTATATCCACACGCCATCTTCTGTAGTGATCGCAGCAGTATTTAGCAAATACCTTTCAGGGACTTCTCTTAAGATCCAAAGACCTTGGACCAGTCCTGCTTCTTGAAGTATTCTTCAGCAGTGCTAAGCTTTGGTGCAAACTTGAGCTAAACTGGAGTTAGTGATAGCGTGAGAGTAAAAGCAATAATGAACTTACATCGCGAGGATGAACCACAGTTGGGTCATCTCGACCCTCGTAGCCAAATTCATTAAAATAGGAAAAACAGTCAATCATCTCGCCCAACAACTCGTCGGATATACCGGGGGGAATGGCATTGTCGTCCTTGATGGCCTTTGACGGGATACCAGTGGCCTTTGTGAAGGCAGCAGCGATGTCGTTGGCGGATAGCCATTCTCTGTAGGCGATGAGGTTGTGGCCTGCAGGTTCATCGATGATGAGTGACTTGACAAAGGGACCGGTATCCTCTTCAGGAGCGATGTAGGGGAACTTTGTTTCGACGTCCAGAGTTGAAACGAACTGAGCGACTCCATCGGCGTCCTATACATACTTTAGCTGGGTTCGCTTACTGTGAAGGAATCATTGACTGACCTTGAAAGGTTGGTTCAGCGGCAAGAGAAAGAAGTTGCTTAGAAAAAGTCCAGCTTGGTAGACACTTGTCTTGGCCCACAGATCAGGGTGCTCCTTTTGAGCATACTCCGTCGCACGAGCCTTACCATCGAAGTGGTAAACACGAGTATATTTACCCTTTGACCACTTCCCCGAGTGAGACAAAGACGAGAGAATAAAGCGTTCGAGCGTGGGAACTTTAGCGGCGATGTCAATGACATTCTTCAGCTGCTGTTCTTCATGCTGAGCGGCCCAGTCATTGAGGGCCTGACCAGGCTTAGTCTTGGATCTGTTGGACTCGTTATAATAGAGACCCCAGAAGTCGCTGACAGCGAAGATAGCGTGAGCGCCCTCAAATGCTGCCTCCAAAGAAGAAGGTTCGTCGAGATCTGCTTGGACGACTTCAGCGCCCTTGGAAGATAGAGCTTTGGCTTTGGCGCTGGAGGTGTTGCGGGTGAGGGCGCGGACCTTCCAGCCTGGTTCGGAGAGGAAGACTTGGGCGACGGAACCACCTTGATTGCCTGTGGCTCCGAGAATAACGATGAGCTTGGAAGACATTGCTGAAGTTGAGAGAGAGAGAGAGAGAGAGAGAGAGAGAGAGAGTTGAAGTGAGGTGAATAGAATGCTGTTGAGTGAAGTTGATGAGTGCTGTCCAAGTCGAGGGAAGACCTCCTTATATACCCAATCTCATGACACTGACTGCATCTCTGCTTTATCAGCATGAACAGAGTCGCTTGCTGTCGCCATCAATTGTCATGTCGTTATTGAAGTTGCTGGCAGCGGATGCCGCTCTTGGCCCCATAATTGTCCGCTCTGCCGCTCCGAGTGTGGGTCCGGAGCCGGCGCAATAAACTCAATCTCATTATCGTTTTCGAATGACGGAGGAACTAGGCTCCGACTCTCCAGTTCTTTTTCGTGGGCGATTTACTGTGATTGCTACGGAGTATGGGGAGTGGTTGTCTGCAGTGATGTTCACCTGATCCATGGCATTCATCTAGCCTACCTATAGACTCTGTCACTCTGGCCCTCGATGATTTGGGCAGTGAATATGGCATCGCGCAATGGTTAATCACGGTCTCTTGAAGTTGGATATAAAAAGGAACGTAATGACCAACTTTCCACCAATACAGCAATTATCTCCCGCCAATAGATTTAGCTAAGCAGCACAGAATAATACGAATAACTATCTTGTTATAAGAAGGTAGACAGCCAAAAGAAGTTACAACATGGCACACGAATACAAAAAGACCTTCGACCCCAAACTTCCAATTTACAAGCACGATATTCCAAGGAAGTTGGTGAAAGGCGATACAGAGCTTAATCAAGCACTCATCGACATCTTCGGAGCTTGGGACTTTAAATTCGTCAATCGCTATGACGCAACAAAGGAAATGATCACAGTCGAAACAAACGATGATACGTCGATGGACTTGAAGAAGAAACTGCAAGAGAAGGGAGCTCTGGAGCAAGACTAGCCTTGTTGATAGTGAGAATGGAATAAATTCGCTTGATTCAGCAGTGAAGCTGAGACGATGGATGTCTTGCTTGTATAGATCCGTGGTTCGTGAATTGATCACCATCAAGGCATATAGTCATACAGTAACAGCTAGGAATGACTATGACTTGATCTGTATCGAGTGTATCATACGAGATTCAGTGTGCCTTGAATTAAGTATAAATACCGCGTTGGCTGTATATACAGCCTTCTACCTTACCAATCTTAACCAAAATACTAGACCATCAAACTTGAAACAAACACTATCGCCATGGCCCCCGAGTACGAAACAACCTTTAGCCGCACTCTTCCCTTCACGACCCACTTGATACCCCAAGAGCTGGTAAAGAATGAACAAGAGTTCTACAAAGCTCTCTGCGACAAATTCGGCGCTTGGACATGGGCATGCGAGAAGAAAGAGGGCAAGTATGTAGTTGAAACAAACAAGGAGGCGCCGGCAGACTTGAAGAAGTACCTACAGGAGAAGGGCGTCTTGAAGGGCGATGAGCACCTGGTTCAGGCCACCTCTTGATTCAGATCAGATCAAGCATGAGGGTCAGGGCGGAGACAATAGAGAGTCTGTGCCACTGATTCTTAATGTAACAATTCATCTATTGCTGGTGTTTTGCTTGTCTCACTGTGAATGACGTGGACAGAAGCGGACTCGAGCGGCCCTTGTCCGCTCCCACTTCCCGTTCTCGTTCCGGGCCGCTCTCGCAAGATGAAGCGGACGTCTTTCTCTTACCTGTAGGTACAAGCACTCCCATAAGAAGCCACTTCCATTAAGCCACTCTCCTATGCCACTATTTGATATGAGATCGCGCCGATAGACTTTTGATCCTGTATCAACGAACAGAACATGGGTCTGTCCACAATGTTACCTATACTCGAATAGCATCATATCTTATTGGGGTTTTCGTATCCACCCCCGCGTCTCCTATGGCTATATCATATAGGCATTATCATATTTGCCAACCTTTATGATCGAGATGTTGCATCATAGCTCCCAGACTGAGGCGCAAGCCGTCACAGACGTCTGCTGATGAGCTGACTTACACGGACAAGTCGGAGATCAGACGTCCGCTCCAGTAATTAGACAATTCGGTTTGACGTGAAAATTTGTTAAAGGAATATTGCAAGGTACAGAGTAGCACCCAGCGATAGACCCCAAGAGAAATGTAAGGCTACTTGTTCACGGGACAGGTATACTGACGAGTCACTCACTTGTTTACATTCAGAGGCATATAGCGAATGTTGAGCCACGATATACATTGCAGAGATTCGTCAAGTCAATAGTGGTATATTCTTAACCAGGTTTCCTGATTCCTCCAGGATATAAGAAAAATAAGTAATAAAAAACATTGAAGCCGTGTAGTGTTATACAGTAGGTAATCCCAATGTGCCCTGATCCTTTATGCCAATACACCTTTGCGCCGTTAACCAACCTCATTACAATTTCAAATTTTAGTGTCGAGGCTCAAGAATGTCTAAATAATCGCCGCATAGGGTCGAAAAGGAAATGTATGTCTCGTTCTTGAAGTCTGTCAAGACACCACCAAGTTGATCCTCTGGTGCCCCCGAATCGGGATATACTGTTTTGTAAATCCACTTGCGTCCGTCAATGAGCTTCTCGGTGATGGGTTCATCTTGCCTGGTGGCTTTGAAGCCAGCCTGCAACAGAGGCATGGCGTAGGGGTGGAACCAGTACTTCTTGAAGTCGGAGATGAGGTTTCGCTTGCTGCACGTGGCGTGGTAGAAGCCGAAAATGCTGCGTGTAGCGACGTTTGTGTCGAGATCCAGGCTGCCTACCCAGTCACGGGCGGACATTGTGGCCAGCTCGGCGGGCAGAGATTTGAACACCTTGATGAGAGAATGGTAGACGTTGGTTGGCATCTGGATACGATAGGGCTTGAAGTTCTTCCCCACGTCGTAGACATCCTTGGACATGGTCGCCGTGTTGTCCGAGTTGTTGTAGTTGAGCTTGTTCATCCATCTATGGGCGAAACATCCAGTCTGCACGAAATCCGACTCAAAATCGATAGCGGCATGATACTCGGTGATGCTCTTCGTTTCGATAGTGGTGGCATTGTCGCCCATGCTGGCCATTATGTACTCATTCTCAATCTGCTCAGCGCGCGAGAGCTCCTGGCGCGCATAAAGTCTGGCGAGGTAGATCTGATCCGACGTCTTGTATTTAAAGTTGGGGTCGAAAGTCTCCTCCAAACTGGCGATACCAGCGTTGATAAAGTTGCGCAAATCCCCGACAGGTCCAATGACACTTCCTGAATTAAAGTACTTGGCGTCACGATATGTGACATCACCGCCGCCAGTCTTGGGACCATAGACGTTACCAGGGAGATGGGACCCGGGGATCTTGGTGCACTGGGCCTCGTGTAGGGCTGGCCAACACATCTTGTCGGCACCCCAGAATAGAGTTTGCTTTAGTCCGCGTTTGTGGGCTTCTTCAACGGTTATGCCAAAACGGTCAGCCAACCGGCGGTCGGCATCAGCAGCAACCTTAAAGTAGCGCTCTATGACAACCTCCACGGGCAGCTGGGCCATAACATCGTATCCATCGCCGAAGAACACGAGGTCGTCATCGTCACCACCCTGGGGGAGTTCGTCGAGGTACTTCTTGATCGAGTACAGCTTAGCTGTATGGGCGGTGGAGGCGTTGTATTTACCCTCACCCTTCCAGCCAACCATGTACGGGGCGGGATATCGGTTTACAAGGGCGGAGGTGACGATGGCGCAGAACATATCATTCGGGTTCGAGGCGGGCAGCAGGAAATGCAGCTGCGACGTCTTGACGACCTTCTTCTTTGGCTTCGACGGCGCATGGACCGATGGTGAGGCCCCGGTCGATTTGGATCCAGACGATAACCCATGTGAAGGTGTCCACTGCGGAAGTGTCAGTTTACGATGCAGCAAATGAGGGCGAGGCCTAGACGGAACCCACGGCATCGGTATAAAGATAATAAGTCTCAAAAAGGATAAAAAAGACCAATACGCATGCAGCCACCATCGCCGTTCGGCGGTATGGGGACGTTTTTTCCGACATGGCAGCGATGGCCATCTTTTTTACTCTAAACAAGAAGCGAATGAATGAATGACTGAATGAATGAATGAATGATGCAAGAAACGAGGGACCCGGGAGACTTAAAACATTGTGCTAAGTCAGAATCTCCCCAGGTAAATATAGATAAAGATAGGGGTTGCGTGTTAAACTTGATCAGGGAGAGAAATCGATAGTACGCTACGTAGTAAGGGGGATGGCGTACGATACCCCACTTGTCCAATTTCAGATCTGATGTAAGCTCAAAGATTCGCTGCGCAGCGGTCTTTGGCTCTTGTCAGCGTGCCATGGCGTCCTTAGCACGCCCGCTGGCGTCTTTTTTTTTAGTGCAGCCGTTACAGGCACAGGGTCTTTAATATCTCACGTGATGATAATAGCGTGAACGAAGGAGATTCTTGACGACTTTGACGAGAGTTCAATTGATACGAAACTTCAGCCCTGTTTTGACGTTACAGTTACACTCTAATTTATAGCCCTGTTAGGGTCCCGCACCCTGTAGCATCGACCCTATATGCCGATCAATCCTGGAACGAGATTGCTGAGGCTAGTGAGGCTGTCTATTCCTTCGAGTTTCAGATTCTTCCTTCCCTTTTCATATTGGCCCTGGACCCCACTGTCTTTCCGCCGATTTAGGTAAGGTAGTGATGATGGCGCCTGAAGTAGTACCCACAGCGGGGTATTTCGCTATAAATGCATGATATCCTTGAAGAGTCTCTGAAAGCAATTTTGAGAGAATTTTAAGAGACAAAAAGAATGGTCGGTAGGGTATCATTTCTTCTAGTGACTGAATAATGTTTCAATCATGACGATATATAAATCGCTGGCCATTCCTGCCCTCTGGCCGAGATACCCGGCAGCCCTGCTTCGACGGCCGCTGGAATTCTAGGATCACTGGCTTTGGCGTGTGTTGATCGCAGGTAGATCCTGAAGAGTATGGCGGTGGAGGAATTGGATCATTGTGTGATGTGGTTTGCAATTGGTAGGAGTTTGCATTCTTTTCAGACGTTGAGTAGTATTGAGTCGGTGAGTTTGTCATTGAGTTTCCTGATAGGAAGCTCTTGATATGGTTCATGACGATCGACATGGTGCAAAGTCAGATTTTAGCAAGGTTTATGAGAAGGGGAAGCGATGGTGCCAATGGTGAAGTGGTAGTGACGAATACAATGGAATGGTCTATTCGAATTATCGTCTTCTTAATTGAAGAATGAGACTTTATATAAGACAAATTCGTTATTTTTGGAGTCGTTGTCCCGACTCATTATCTACGTAGCCTCGATGTTAGTCGTCGTGGCTTAGCTCGCCCAATATTCCGATTCCGGCTTATCCGCCCCTTCACCACTCGCGAGCTCGCCAATCGCAAAGGGCGAGTGAGGCTTATCCTTCAACGCGCGTATGGAATTGGTGTGCTGCGGATTCCCGATAAGGCTGACACTCTCCTGATAGTGCGTAAGACGCGCCGCAATGAGCTCGATCGAGGATAGTTGCTGTTCTGGGCAATGGCTTCGACCGCGGCGATCCGACTTTCTGCCAGTTGCGCCGAGACGGAGGTCGGGAGCTCCGCGGACGAATCCGTTGATGTTTGAGTTTATGGGGAATTTAGATTTTACTAATTGATTGAGTGTTACTCTCGGCAGTTTTATGAATTGCGTCATTCGAAACATGCTTCAGGCCGAGTACAACCATCACCATTGATAGAAAACATCAACTTCTAAACACCCTCGTTCTATTTCTTTACAGGACGATACACAAAATGGTCAAATTCTGCCGACTTGCCATTCCCATTCAAGTCCGAACAAGCCATACCATCAAACGCACCAGTGAATGAACCCCCAGAACCTCGAGGACCACAGCTGCACTCGTCTGAAAGTTGAGAAGCGTCCAAGACAGGTCCGTACTTCTCAAGTGGCTTATCTTCAATAGAGTAATAGAACTGCAACTCTGCCTCCCTGATAGTGAGCGCCAACTTGACTTTTCCTGCTGGCGGGAGACTGATCGGATCAAGATGGTGAATCTGGAGCGACCCCGTAGGCCACGATTCTTCCGAGTTCATGATGGATAAGAGTCTCTCGCTCTCTTCATTAGCTGTGATGTGAAGATAGAAAAAGTTGAAACGGCTGTAGTAAGCGGTGAGACCTGCAAATTCGCGTTCGTTCTCAGGTTTGAAGTCGATGACTGTTTCGGCATCATATGAAAAATGAGTTTGGCGACGAGCCACAAGAGATTGTTCGAACCAGGATCCGATAGCATCACGCCCGTAAAGAACCAGTTTTCCATTTGTAGAGAAAATTTTCTCTGGCTCAGGCGTGCGAAGCCATTGAAAATCAATAGGCAACCCATTATCGAAAGTGTATCGAACCTCTCGCCAGTGGTCATCTTCGTTCCGTGTACCCGGAACATCGACCAGTGTCGAAGGCACTGGACCGTTCTTGACATATAACCATCCATTATCTTTCCAGAATGCTTCTTGGATAGCTGTCTCCCGTCCAAGAACACTCCGGCGATTCTCTGTTATCGGTCGACTGAGAAGATGAACCAAATACGTTCTTCCGTCTGGCGTCTCAACAATATCACCGTGCCCTGCGCGTTGAAGTTCTGCCGACGGAGAATCTCTTGAGGAGAGAATATACTTATCCGGGTGCAGCTCGTAAGGACCCCAGATACTTTGAGATCGAGCAAGAGTGCACGAGTGATCATATGAAGTTCCACCTTCAGCTGTAAGAAGATAATAACACCCGCTCCGTTTGTAAAGGTGTGGTCCCTCCGTTATACCAATTTCAGTCCCATCAAAGATCTTCTTCTGTGGACCAATAAGCTTTCCAGCTTCTGGGTCAAACTCCTGTAGCATGATGCCACAGAAATGATCTCTGTTTGGAAAACGGTGGTCTCTTCTCTGATTGACGAACCATTTTCTACCGTCATCGTCATGGAATAGTGAAGGGTCGATACCTGAAGAGTTGGCATGGATGGGGTCTGTCCAAGGACCATATATAGACTCAGATGGTGTGATATAATTCTTCAAGTCCCAGAATGTCCCGTCCTTTCTCTTCACATCCGTATACACAAGCCAGAACTTTTGACCGTCGTGTGAAAGACAGGGTGCCCAGATTCCACCACTATCTGGATCTCCCCTCATATCTAAAAGGCTTTTGCGATCCAGGGGACGAGTGATGAGTTTCCATTTTGCAAGATCGGTAGAATGATGAATCTGCACGCCGGGAAACCATTCGAACGTCGACGTGGCGATATAGTAATCAGTGCCGACTCTGACAATCGAAGGATCCGGATTGAACCCGGGCAGGATAGGATTCCGAATGGAAGGCATCTTGATGATTCTGCAGATCTGAAATTCGAAAGCCTGAGGTGAGGATATACGTTGGCTCCCATACGAACTTATACTCTGACCCCGCAAGAATGGTCTTTTACTTTACCAACAGACAAAAAGCGAGCTGTTTAGCCTGATGAGTATGATTGATCATCAGGCCCAAGATAAATGGGTGTGATGCAGATCCATCAGACCATCTCCCCACTCTCGCGGAGTATCGCTCTTAAGCGCGTGCGCTAAGAACTACCTTACACGAGATGTCGTAACGAGAGCTCGATAACGTGAAGCACATAAGTCTCTACTCATGACGCTTTTTCGAAGAAGAGCCATGCTCAATCATATCAGAAAGATTATCTTGGCTGTTCTGAAGTGACTCGAACGCCTTCGACAGCAGTACCCCAGCCATATGTATCGCGGAGTATCGCTTGAAGTTGGAAAGCCATGCATGATATGCTGCCTTGGCAAGAAGACGTCGAAAGCAATACCTATAAGAAGTGATTGGGTCTGACCAAGGCAAGATACATCTGTTTGAAGTTGTCCACAGCCCTTCTATGACTTATTCATGTGCAAAGTTGCCGTGGCCAAGACACTATGCCCATGACAGAGACGGCCACCCAACTCCCGCGAATGCCTTCACGTCTATTTAGGACCATATCTCAGGAACAACCTGCTAATTTTACACCTTACCTACTGTTATGTCCTGATCCCTTCTAGCTTGGATGCGGAGAATTACCCTGCTCGTTTATGAGTACTGTAGCCAATAGCCATCTTGCATAGCCACAGCACAGCGACCATGCGCCTATTTTTTGCAACCTTCACCAGCTCCTCAAGCTGATTTTCGCGATTTCCTACCCTTCTCTCTATACACACTAGAACAATTGACAATATGTATCTCATCAACGTTTCAACGCTGAAACTTGAAGAGTTCTATAGTAGTGTCCCCGAATATGCAATCTTATCGCATACATGGGGTCAAGCTAGTGAGGAGGTCCTCTTTCAAGAGATGCTCACCAACTCATCCGATGTGAAGCTCAAAAAGGGTTACAAGAAGATCGAATTATGCGCCAAACAAGCTCAAAAAGACGGGCTCGACTACTGCTGGGTCGATACGTGTTGCATTGACAAGTCTAGGAGCGCAGAACTCTCAGAAGCCATCAACTCCATGTTCTCTTGGTATCGAAACTCAGCTGTCTGCTATTTATACCTCGAAGACGTGATCCACAAAGAACATCCGGGTCGAATTGACGAGTCTCTCGGAGAAGCACGGTGGTTTACACGGGGCTGGACATTGCAAGAACTCTTGGCTCCTCGAGCTCGCCAGTTCTTCGATGCGAACTGGACCATGATCGGAGAGATATCGAAGAACCGTTACAGAGAACATCTCGTCAATGGTTTCTTTCGCATGGACACGACTGCAGATGAAGAAGGAGATCCCCAGGAGCTTGAGGGCATGAGCCTGGCGAGTCAAGTAGCCCAGATCACTGGGATTCCTAGGAAGGTCCTTTATATCGGCGATCTCGGATCCTTCTCAGCTGCTACGAGAATGTCATGGGCAGCAAGGCGGCGAACGACTCGCATAGAGGATCAGGCATACTGCTTACTGGGAATATTTGACGTTCATATGCCCCTACTCTACGGCGAAGGGAATCATGCTTTCATACGACTGCAAGAGGAGATCGTCAAGAAAGAGCCAGACCATACACTGTTCGCATGGCGTTCGGAACCAACTTCACCAGCACCAACGTTCAGCGGCCTTCTTGCTCCTTCACCGGGCAACTTTTATAGCGATCACTGCCGTGGTATCTTACCAAAGCAAGTTGACTTACCATATGAAATGACGAATAAGGGTCTGCATCTACAAGTTCGTCTGGTTGAGCATAATCCGGGATCCGATGAGTTCTACGCCATTTTGTCTATCACGCATCAGTCAGATACAAAGAAAGACATATGGTATGGTATCAAGCTTGGACGGTTGGATAGCTGTGGTCAATACGCTCGAATCAACACGGGAGAACAACTAGTTCGAGAGGTTGAAACGACACGTACACTTTCGATCAAGCCAACACATATTTATATTCAGCATTTCATTCGCCACAACTCTCCACTATATGGCAGAAACAAGCCTTCTACAGTTGTTCTGGGTTGCGCTATGGAGTCGATGTCATTGACAATTCTCGAAGCATCAGGGTCTAAGAGCTGGGACTCGGAATCGTTCACGTTCCTCCCCTCTAAGGATGATCTCTTTTATGCCAGGCTTGCATTTCACTGCAGGCCAAACCTAAAGGGTTCGTCTCCGTTAAATATAGGATGGATAGTCAGGAAAGATGATGTAGAAGGGATCAAATCTCATCTTGCCATTCTTAAGGAGAAGAATGATTTATATCGCCCGAATACTCTTTGGGAGAATGGCATACGATCGGGAATAGTCAAGATATATCCTCAGTCGACCTATCATATTCGCGATGGTGAAATGGTGGCTATGATAGCTCTTCATGATCAGATAATCCTCAAAAACTAAAGCTGGGTAGCTAAAGACCTGGTACCCCCTACTTCTGAGCTAGAAGAACCCAGCTTTCAAATCTGATCCCCCCATGAGATTCGACTTCCTTCTTAAGTACCTCATCAACAGCCTCTGGCCACTTCCTCTCCTCCTCATCAGTATATCCCGCCCGAGCAGGACGCATCAGTTCTCCGAGCATGAACTGTTTCAGCCCATCTTCCAGTTCAGTTCCACTAACGACGATACTGTCCTCTACAAGTTTGAAGTTGGAAGAGTCAAACCCAGCTTCGATCGCCGTCTTTTCCAGAACACCCGGTTTGAAGAATTCAGGATGGGGCATTTTCAAAGGTGCAAGGTCTGGTCGGACAATGGCTTGGGCAGCGTGGATAAGTTCTCCAACACCGAAGCGTTTCCAGCAAGAGATGACGGCTAGGCCGTCAGGCTGGAGCGTGCGGTAGATCTCCTTGACGCCCCTGACGGGGTCGGCCAGCGTGTAAACACTGAAGTTGAGGATAATGTGTGTGAAGTGCTCTTCTGGAACTCCCTCCAGATTCTGAGAGTCAAGAACCCTCGCTTCAATCTGTGAGAGCGAAGTGAAAGAGTCCTTAGCGGCTTGGACCATGGGAGGTACATTATCCGTGACCACAATCTGGGGCAGCTCATCAGGCGCGAGTCTGTCAACAAGAACTAAGGCTGCTATTCCCGGACCGGCAGCATTATCATGAACCACCGAGTCTTTGGTGATAGGCTTTGTGGCTTGAATACTATCGAAAGCCAAGTCAAGGGCACGGTATGTGCTTCTGCCGGTTTGTTGAAGATAGTTTGCCGCGAATGCAGAGAAGTATGAGGAAGAGGGCAGGTCTTTACTTTGGGATGTCGCCATCTTGGAAAGCTTAGTTTATTGAAATGTCGGGTGGTGGCTTGAGAACACCGTAAGCTGACACTGGAACCCATTTTATACCAAGAATGGCTCTAGGAGGTTGAGGGGTCGAAAGAGCCTTCGGTGGAGTCATGACAGCAGATGGAATCAGCACTAGGACTCCTTTTCATGCAATAAGCCGAAGAACGCGAGAAGAGCGAGAATAGGAGAGATTTTCCGCCGGTGATGTGAACCCGACCGAGGCTGCAAAGTTCACTATGCCACGAAACTTTTGATTATATTCCCCAGAATTTGCATGCTCGTGTATAGTTGATTAGAATATTATATCGAGCTCACCCAAGGAGCCAGAATAAAAGTTCCCGCTGAAATGCTCAGGCCCTTCAGCCCCTTGTACCGAGTCCTGTTCTGGACTTATGATGAAATTATCATTGAAAAGTGAGGTCCCATCATTTGATATAAACTCGCCCAAAGAATGAAGATCTTTCCACGAGAAGCTGTTAAATGGATCAGAGTTCATATGCCCTTCGCTTGATTCAGCTTGTGACTGTAAAGCTCCATGGCTGGCCAAAGCCAAAGAGTCTGATCGTCCTTCTACTTCGGAGTTTCGTGATCTTGACTTTCCGAGCATCTTCAGCCACAAAAGTCTAAGAGACCTAGCGTAGCGCTGACCGAGACCCTGTTGATTATTCGAAGTTTTCTGTAGACGAGAAATAGTTTCATAGATGGCACGGCGCACGCCTCGTGCTTCTGACGGTTTGATAGCTCCGGCAAAAATGGCCTGCAGATGAGTATTGTCAGAGTCACCCGGGAACGAAGTAAAAAAAAAAAAATATAAAAAAAAACACTTACCTTGAACAGAAATACTGCTGCATATATAACATAAAGATAAAACTTGAGCGGCATATACTTGAACGCTTCAGTGGGGTCTATGAAACTGTTGAGAGTACATAAGATAGAATTTGCTGCGTCGATAGACTCGTAAATGAACCTCGCATCTGGGGCAGCGGCTAGTTCCGAAAATAAAGGACCCGATGGTCTCTTCTTTGATCGTCGGACAATACGATTTAAGTTTGCCTGAAAAGCAAATGCGTTGATATATAGGCGAAAAAAATCATATGAGAGCATGAGAGATGCTTTGACGCGGGGAATAAAGCTGAGGCCACCCCAAGAGAGCTTCCATCTCCGGAGGACTGAGGAGAAGTCATCCTATAGAGTTAGGTGTATAACACCATGGATCGAGAAAGGTTGCTTACAATGTATCTCACATACTCTCCTCCTATGTATAGCTGCTCTCTATGACTTGTTGACGAGTATAAAATATCATGTGCGTTACTGAACAACTGGGTAATTTCAAGATGTGCTTGAAAAAGCAGAGCAAGGTTATCGTTGCCCAGCTTTTGTGTTTGGAGATATGGAAAGTCGGCAGCCCGAAGGTTCACGGATGGACCTGGGCCACGAGACCAGAAGCCTTTTCCAAGACGTATTGAAATTTGACGATCGCTCATATAGCAAGCTGTCTTCCCCTTAGTAACTGTAGAGCGCCACATGGCGGAGATGAAGTCACTTACCGGCCCAAGCTATCCTTTTTCTACTGAGGTAATCCGGCGCCCCTTCAACTCTCTGCACAAGACCAGTCTGCTCAAGGTTCTGAAGGTATGCAAGACGAATAGCAACACCAACAAGCATCCACGATCCCTGGTCCTCCTTGCCGCACCCGATCATGAGGTTCTCCTCCAGTGGCTGAGGTGCCCACTCGGCGAGTATCAATAATGCTTCGACTGCACCGACGGTAGTGGATCCGGTGTATATTAGCTTGGAGATTTGAGTCTCCATGTGTCTCGCACAGGCATTATGAGCCCTGGACCAAGAGGGATCATCTTTTGTGGCAACGCAGAGGATTGCTGTGATGAGATATGGTTCGTGTTCGATGAGTTCTAGGATACGGCTGGAGTCGAAGGCTGCGCTGTAGGCAATAGGGAAGAAGATGTGAAAGTTGTCATGGTAGCTTTCCTAGGTTAGTCTGCAATGGAAAGTGTGTGTATAGATGAACTTACTGTTCGATGAGAAAGGATGCCTCAGAAAGGGTCAATGCTCCAGAAGTAACAGGTGGATAGTCACAAACACCCTGGGATATGTTTGCCATTCTTGTAGAGCTTTCGGGATCACCTTCAGTATCTTGTGTTTGTGCATGTCCCTCAGGTTCCATATCAGCCACATGAGCCAGCAAATCCAATGCATCAGACGGGTTCAAAAGATCTGACGATGTGAAGTGACCCTTGAGTCGCACCGCATCACCTGTAGGCTCTTCATCATCCTCGGACTGCTGGTCTAGAGGTGACCCAAGATTTGATGACAGCCATTCACTGTGTTGGTCTGGTTCACGGGGTTCTTGACCTTGTGCTGGCACTGAATTCATTCGGTTGATTGGTCTGCTTGGCGATGCCTGATGGGAATCATTTGTTGATCTAGAGTAACCGAGGCGCTGGCCCTTGATACGACGACCACCGCGTCGAGATGTAGCGAGGATACATTCTTGATTCTTCTCGATGCATCGCCGACACGGAGGGTCTCCAGGCACGCCACTGGAATCACTTTCTCACACGTCAATTGATGGATTTCTCTAGCCAGAGTCGGCAATCGATGGCCATGACTTACAGGTCACATCGGGTCTTACGAGATCTGCAGCTCACGCAGGCTCTCGAAACCCTCTTCTCGGTCTCTGGTCCCGTCGGCGGTGTCATCATGCGTCGAGTGGAGGGTTTTCAAACACCGAGGGTCCGAGAGGAGAGGAGAGGGGAACGCGGCATTTGCATATGGATGAGGGTCTTGGTTAACTAATCATACGACGACATTGGTCTAGCGAGCCTAGAATGGCAATGGCTTGGGTTAAGCTTTGAGCTATGGGCATGCACCGATGTCACAGGACTTGAAGATACTTGGCTATGACGGATCATTCCACTAGAGGACGTGACTAGGGGGTCTAGATTCTAGAAAATGGCCTGGAACTTGGAAGCTGAGAATTATTGGCGACGGCTATTGAAGCTGAAAACCCCGGTCTTTGAAATCGTATCACACTAAAGCACTAAAACGCGAGCCTCTCCAAGGGAATGGGTCGCCTAAGAAATAATTTGTGGATTTTCCATACCCCGAGTTTAAAAACCTGATATTAAGAGGGATCGGGAATAAGAAGATAGCTTGCAGCCAAAATGTTTTGATTCTAATCTATAGGAATTACACTATGAGAAATATCTATCTTAAATTCTATTTAGTTTTACGGTTGATCCAGTTGCCCATGAGATCATAGTCTAGTGACCTATTTCAGACCTCCACTGAGTAGAATATCTTGTCCTGTCATGTATCCATTTCTTGCCAACCTATAGCACGTATTAAACAATGAAATCAGTACGTTCAGCGGGACTTACATGATGATCGCTTCACAAACCTCATTGGGTGAGCCGAGACGATGAACCGGAATAGATGCAGCAATGGCGAGACCAGGGTCAGTCTTCTTCAACTCTTCCAGATCACAGCCTTTATCCCAGGTCCTACATACAAATATTAGCCAAGTAAAAGTATTGAATAGTCCGAATATCTTACTCTGAGATGGGCGGTGGGATCATGCCCGTGGAGCCAATCATAGCTGGCGAGACCTACACAGCCCGTTAGTTTCACAGAGTTTGATAGATAGCTCCAAGAACTTACGATATTGACTGTAACACCTTCGGGCGCCAACAAAGTGGCCAAATTCTGGCCCATCGAACTATGGCTTGTCAGCGTAATCACACGAGACTTTCAGTGTCACTCACGTCAGAGCACCCTTTGAAGCAGCATAGTGGCATCCATTCAGCCCACTTCCACGAGCAGCAATACTTCCAACCAGTATAACTCGCCCCCAACCTTGTTGTCTCATACCAGCAAGACAAGCCTTTGTAACGACAAACTGACTTCGGCTGTTGACTTCCATCATCTCATCCCAATCATCCTCTCCAATCTCCGCAACATCGCGGATCCGTCTTCCTAGACCAGCATTTGCCACCAGAATAGATACTGCCTTATGCTTGGCGGATACAACATCTTGGCTCAATAAGCTTGTGACCAAAGCTCTTGTCGACTCTCTTTGTGAAAGATCTGCATGCACGGGCACAAACAGCTGAGATGGGTATGTCTCACTCAACTCTTGTGCAAGTTTGTCTGCCTTTTCTTTACTTGAAGAATAATGCAAACCAACATCACAGCCTTGAGCAGCAAAAGCTCTCGCTACAGCGGAACCTATTCCGCCACTACAAAATCGTTAGTCTGGCTGACAATACACCTCCAACAAAATACGAACTCACCTTGAACCCGTCACCAAAGCCAATCGGCCTTTGAGGTTATTGTCTATCGTCTGCAGTCGAAGCGTCATCCTTGTATGTTTCCGAACTTGTTTATGCAAATCATGCAAGTGCTCGTTATTGACTTTACTTGCTCATCTTATAAAGGGCGAGAAGCTAAAAGCTTAGCTCTGCCGCTATTCCGAAACCATTTACCATCGGCAACTCCTTTTTTTCAAACACCGACGGCAATTGAAATTAGCTCTAACTAATGGATCCTGGAGAAGGAGTAATCTCTTCCCCGCAAACATGGGGTCCCCATGGAGTAGAGTCGTATTACGCTTGGGAATGTGGGTTGGTCTTTATTAACCCGTCCTCCGTCTCTACTTTTTGATTTGAATTTTCGTTCTCCACGATACAAGGCATATCAAACACTTTATTCCATTGTCTGTTACTCGATCAACTGTTCATCATGGAGTTACAAGGCCAGAGCCTCATCATGACCGTCAGTGTCTTGACTTCGTTGGGCTTTATGCTCATCGGTTATGACAATGGCCTCATGGGAGGTCTTGTCAACACTACGGCTTTCAAGGACAGTTTTGATAGTCCCGATTCTGATATGATCGGCGTTATTGTCGCCATTTACGAGAGTAAGTTACACTTCGCCAATGGACTATGTTGGTCACTTACAGTTGTTAGTTGGATGTTTCTTTGGTGCTGTCTTCTCCTCTATCTGGGGCGAGAAGCTCGGCCGTCGACGCTCTGTTTTCATCGGTTGCGTATTCCTCATCATTGGTGCCGTTCTCCAAGCCGCTTCTTATACACGAGCTATGATGATCGTTGGCCGTATCGTCGCGGGCATTGGCATGGGTACTATCAACTCAACTGTTCCTGTCATGCAAGCCGAGTTTAGTCCCAAGTCAAGCCGTGGTATCTTTGTCTGCGCCCAGCTTTCGACTCTCAACTTCGGTATCTTCCTCGTTTACTGGATCGACTATGCCCTATCATCCCACACTGGCAGCTATGCTTGGCGTGTTCCCGTCATTCTCCAGTGTGTTCCTATTCTGGCTATCATGGGTCTCCTGTTTGTCATCCCCGAGACACCACGTTGGTTGGCAGCCCACGACAGACCTGAGGAGTGCCTTAAAGTCCTTGCTCGAATCCAGGGCACTTCTACCGATGATCCTCAAGTCCAGGTTCTTCATAGTGTCATTACCCAGACTGTCGCCTACGAGACATCTATCGGTGCAGGTTCCTGGAAGGATCTTCTCAAGGAAGATAGCATCAAGTCTCGCAAGCGACTTCTTCTGGCTTGTTTTCTCCAGGCCGCTCAGCAACTCGGAGGCATCAATGCAATCATTTGTAAGTCTAGGCCCTTCTTTATCATTTTAATGAGCTATTCTAATCATCTGTAGACTACTCAAGCACCCTCTTTGAGAAGAGTGTCGGTTTCTCTGCTCACATGTCCGCCCTCATGTCAGGTTTCCTCCAGACATGGTTCTTCGTTGCCTCTTTCATTCCTTGGGTCTTGATTGATCGCATTGGACGAAGACCTCTTGTAAGTACAGCTAAATGCTCTCCTTATACACTAAGCTGACTTATAAAGCTCTTGTCTATGATTAGCGTTATGGCTGCAACTATGGCAGTCCAGGCAGGTTTGATCTACCAGGTCGAGAACAACACTTCTACGGCACATGCAGCAGGTATTGCAGCTGCAGCTATGCTGTTTGTCTTCCAGGGTGCTTTTACCATTGGTTTCCAGGCCACTGTCTGGGTCTATCCGTAAGTACTACCCATACCAAGTTTTATGTTTCACTACTGACAGGCCGCAGCTCTGAGATCCTTCCTCTTCGCCTTAGACAGCGGGGTTCATCTATCTCTACCGCTGCTAACTGGATCTTCAACTACGTATGTCACGCCACGCCTTCCTCAAACACATAGCTCTGCTAACCTTTTTCCAGATGATTGTTCAAATCACTCCCATCTCCATTGAAAATATTGGCTGGAGGACATATATCATCTTCGCAGTACTGAACAGTCTTTGGGTTCCTGTCATCTTCCTCTTCTTCCCTGAAACCAAGGGACTCGAGTTGGAGGATGTCGACCACCTCTTTGGTGGAGAGGACATCATCAGCCAGGTTGACGAGAAGACCAATGCTGCTGTTGTCATGATGGAGACTGTTGGCAACAAGACTGCTGCTTAATCTACTCAGAATTACTATTGAGAGTTGGGAGTTGAAGATGTACTATTCAGGAGTTGTAAGATAGTCTTGAAGATTTAGTTGATGGCTCCAAAGAGGGTGAAGGAGCGAATAGTAATCAATATCATTGACACATCTCTAATAATGTCATGTGAAAGTTACGTGAATAGCGCTTACTGCCGAATAATGCTTGATTGGGTGACCTATCTTGATATGCACACAGAGTTTCCGTATTCTCGCTGCGTGGCTTCGGCATATGAGCCACCCGCTGCAGACATTTCCACATTGGGAACGGGATTAAGTCCAGCATTAGCCGCTGAGGGGTAAACGGCAGGTAACCCAGCTCAACCTCCAAATTCCAAAGCCCGACGCCCCAATATTTGTTATGTTATGTTATGCCATCCTCCTCTTCATATCCCGCTCGTCTAGCTACCCCAGCACTTCAACCTCGGAATACAACCCTGACTACCACTCGGCACGATGTCATTCAAAATTTACAATGAAGGGGCCAATGCCATCTTTGACGCATCTTCAACGGTCGAGGCAATCCATGAGAATGACCAGTACCCCTTTGCCCACGAAGCTGGCGTCTTCATTCCGGAAGAAAATGCCCTGTTCATCACGAGCAACCAATTTCCAGACCCTACGACCGGCCAGAAGACGATCCAAATAAGCAAAATCCAACTCTCTCCCGATGGGAAATTCATTAGCTGTGAAGAAATCAACGCGCCTGATGTTCCCATGGCAAATGGTGGTGTGAACTACAACGGCGGCGTACTATTCTGCTCGCAAGGATCCCTGACTGCGCCAGGAGGTCTCGTGTTCATGCAGCCAATTGCACCTTACAGATGCGCAGCGCTCGTTACCTCATTCTACGGGCGAGACTTCAATTCTCTGAATGACGTGGTTATTCATTCTGATGGCTCTATCTGGTTCACAGATCCAATTTATGGATACGAGCAGGGTATAAGGCCAGCTCCCCAACTACGAAACCAGGTCTATCGATATGATCCCAAGGACCAGTCTATTCGAGTTGTTGCAGATGGATTTGGCAGACCAAACGGTATCTCATTCAGTCCTGATGAGAAGGTTGTCTACATCACTGATACGGACTGGATTCACGGCGATGGAACTACTGACGACACCCGAGCAAGGACCATGTAAGTCGCCAACGGCACAAGACCATTTATCATATCTTGCTAATTTTCTACCTCCAACAGCTATGCCTTTGACCTATCAACCATCACCGGCGAACCTTTCCTCACCAACAAGAGAGTGTTCGCCATGGCAGACACTGGAATCCCCGACGGCATCAAATGCGATACAAAGGGCAACGTTTACAGTGGCTGTGGCGACGGCGTAAACGTCTGGTCACCAGGCGGCGTCTTACTTGGCAAGATTCTTATTTCCGGCGGTGTTGCGAACTTCTGTTTTGGTAGAAATGGGGAGTTGTTCATGCTAAACGAGCACAAGATTTGGAGAGCTCAGCTAGCCAGCGGCGTCAAGGGGGCGCTGCTCGGCATCTGAATACATGCTTTCCTGGGGGGGGACTACTAGCCTCAAACAGCCACAACATTGTATTCATTATTTTTATTACGGAGTACTACGTATTAGTTTTACGGCAAATGATTCTTCATCTCACGTGCTCGTATGCCGATAAGAAGCTTGACTATTTGTGGACGCATTTGCCGTTTGCCGACCTTCGGCCTCTGCTTCGGCGTCTGGAGCTAAAGCCGGCCGCTCTCCAAAAAGTCTCAGTAAGTCATGAGATGAAAGCCTCGGCTCTTACATCATACGGCAACTGAAAGTCGGTAAATGATATGCCTATAGATTCTTACCCCAAGTCACTATTCTTCATACGCCGTCGACCATTTTAACCTACCTACTCTAACTACTAAGCTAACAACATCGCGGGGAAATCCAATCCAAGTCAATCTTCCAGATCCAACCTACTATCACATACACATACATACTCACACATAACCATGTCTTCCCAAACGAAAAAGCAACCGAGCAAGCCTCGAGTTCGCAAGTCAAGAAGCACAGCAACCAAGCAGCTAAAGCCCAAAGTCACAGCGCTATCATCATGTCTCTTCTGTCTCCGAAACCGCAGAAAATGCGTGCGAGTGAACGGACAAGCACAATGCTCTGAATGCACAGCTTTATGTCAGACTTGTCACTGGCCAAATGCACAACAGAACCGTGGGTCGCCACATCAGGCTTGTTGTAACTCTTCTAACATCAATGGCAGTTCATCAACTATTACACGAGAAGCAACAACTATATCTTCAACGGCGGTCGCTATCAAAAAGCTTACTAGAAGGCGTCAGAGACATGGAGTTCTGCTCATCGACGATAGAAACACAACGGACTTTGAAGAGGTTACTTGACGATATGGTTAATGTGGAACAAAGGGCATTCCAGCTTGAGTCGGAGGAGTCAAGACTTTGGGGGCTGAGGCTCAGGGCCCAAGCTAGCGACGATGTCGATTCGGAGGACTCGTGTTCAAGTCAGAGTCTGTCTGAGCCATCTCAGAGTCTCGATTGTAATTTTGCTTTTCCATGGTTAGATTAATATCAACATGTCTATAAGCGTGTGATATGCATCTTTGTAATCTTCTAATTTCAATAAACTGAGCATAAGAATCTAAGAATAGGAAATAGCCGAGTGCATGAAATGAAATCGAAAACAATGAATCAGAAGCTAAAGTCCTGGATAATAGTCTAGTCATCACTCATTTGACCAAGATCCGCCTCAAAAGTTTCTTGTCCGTCGTACCAAAGAATATCCCCTGCCCCAGGCCTCGAAAAGGGGTCACTCTCAATTTCTTCAAAGTTCATGTTTCCGGCGACGTCTGAGCAGGAAAATCCGTAGGTGTCAATGAACTGAAGACGGTCAAGATCATCCCCAACTCCAGTTTCTGACTGGTCGCCAAATAGTTCTGGGACCGGAGTCGCAGTGTTGTCGACTTCTATCGTCACACTAGGCTGAATTGCGTTGAGTCCGTCCTCATCATACTCAAAGCCCCTTGAAGGAGGTGTTTGTGATTCTTCAGGTATGTAGTCTTCCATAGTCGAAATGAGCGGTGTTTGATCGACTATTTCTTCTTCGGAAGCTACATGAGGGCTGATCTCATGTTCGATCTGGGGTCTACCCCACAACTCTGCTGCTAGTTTTTCAAACGCACGCGGCGACATTGTTTCACGTAGATGACAAAGTCCAGACTCTTGTGTCATTCTGTCAACCTGACACTGCACATATGACTGACGGAAGTACTCGTAGCAGTCAGCCAGTTTCCTCTCATCATCGAGATAGGGGCTCGAAGGAATCGGTTCGTTGGGGAAGATAATCTTGAAAAGCCTCTCCCATTGCTCTCTTGAGGTCAATTTGGTGCTAGATCTCTCATTGATCATAGTTGCCATGCCCCTTGTGATGAGTCCGACTGGCGGTGGGCCTGTCGGACGGCCGAATAGATTTTCGCATACTTTCTCGTGCTGGGTCAAATCCTCTGGCCGAAACTCTTTGAAACATATATAGCAATGATGGGAGAAGTGCTTCTCTTGAAGATGCTTTTTTAGGCGATATATATCCCTGAGTTTCTTGACACAACTCCCTCTGTACTTTCTGGGATTCCACTTCATGAAAGGACAAGCCCAGAGGAGGCTATTCTCGGAAGATGTGTCGGTAACGGACAGGTTTTGCCCATTACCGCTAGACTCTTCATCATCACTTCCCTCGTCTCCATCAATAGCCTGACCTCTGCGGCCTGTCGACCTGGCACCTTTGCGCCCAAGTGTTGCTCGAGTTTTCTTGGTTGAACTGCTGGAGCTTCGATCAACATGCTTACGCTTTGCTTCAAGAGCCCGTCTCTGTGGCGCATATGACCTGTAATAGTCATCGACAAGCCATTCCACTATGCTCTTGAGAGCTTCCTGCATGGCAATCTCGTCCTGAACAGGCTGACTTGCGTCGATGAAGTCTCCTCGAAAGGCTGCTTCAGAGTCCGAAGTATCGCTGGAACTGGAGCTTTCTGCGGGTTTGATCGAGTTTTGATCAAAGTTTCTTTCACCCTGGTGTTCGTTTGCGCCGACGAAACCTCCGACACCAATAATTTCAGACATCCGAAACCCGTCATGTCCGCGATTGGGCACTACTATATGGGGAAAGGACCTCTGAGATATCGAAATTTCATGCTCTGAGCCAGGGCCACCTCTCGAGAACTGGCCATCGCGTGTTGCTGGCAGCTCCAGTGGCTGACCATCAAAACACAGGCGGGCGTCCTGCCATGAAAATTCGGGGATCCAATACAATGAGGGATAGGGCATTGGATCATCAATTAGGCCCTGTATCAGCTCCTCGAGGTGAGGATTGCTTGCGTGTGGGACGCTCAGGGTTGGGGTGGTGTACGAAGGTCCTGAGTGTGAAGCTTCAGAATATGACATTGCCTCTGTAGGTATTGCCTGGATCATTCTCGATGGCAAAAGCGACGGTACATCTGCCTCTGGAACATTGCTCTCCGCCTGTTCCCAGGTAGAATCAATGTGTGGGTCACCTTGGCCATCACCTACCCCCAAGATTGAAACTTCCTCAACGTTAGCCACACCACTCTGAGCCGACTCTAAGTCCTAATCTCAATATATCAGTATCACTAAGTTTCGTATTGAGGTGTCGTCTGTATGGAAGTAACTCACGTTTAGCGACGGCTTTGTTGGGGGTGCATCACCAGCAGCAGCACCGCCAGGGTTGGTGGAATTCACCCAATCAGACATATTATAGGTACCTCAAGACGAGTTTCAAGGTACTGTAAATGTAGAGAATCCAGGTAAAAGTATGATTAAATGAGTAGGAGGTGTGGAATTCATTTCGCGACTGTTCAGCTTCTTATGGTAAACTGAATTCAAAATTTGTCGATTTTTTTGCTTGTGTCTTGGACGTTTTTTTGAATTGAGAAACCCTGCAGAAAGCATTGGTTGTCGTGACTCCAAATCATATCATCCATGCCAGAAAAAGTAATGAGGCTTACAACTCATCCTCTCATTGGGAGGGACAGCAGGCTGTACAAAGTACATGTGCACGGGCTGACCGCTTGATACTCGCATCGCTCTGAGAGAACCTCAACTTGATAACAATCATGTCATGTATGATCGAAGAGTTGCAAGTCACTCCATGACCAGCAATTAATTTTCCTTCACATTGGCATCGCATATGTATAATCAAAATCAAGTGAATACAATATAACTCCGGTGCCGATTCCCGAGCTCACGTAACTGGTAACAACATCTACTACATCTCATCACGAAATCTATGGCCGGCTCCATATCTAAGATGTTCTATGTCCTCTGCAGAGTCTCGAATTATTTCACCGTTTCCCAACTGAAAAACAAAACCCAAGTCTCTTCGCCATGTCATCTTGCTGATACCTGGTACCACTTGCGTCCTATGCAACCACCACTTCGGCTTGACGTAAGTAAGGACCTAGTGATTGCAAGTGTGAACACAATAGTTGATACTCCGTCAATTTTCAGTTCGCCGGTTGATATCGTGCACACTAGCTCAAATCATGACTGCGAATGATCGGATAGCTCGGTGAATACCCCCAAGTCGAGCTGTCTGTCAGTCCCCTAAATAGAATTTACTGATCAATTTTTCGAATTCTCGTAGGTCTCCCTCAACTCGCTTGTCGAGAATTCTTATCTATAGATATGCTCACTGGCCTCATCCCATGCCTTGTTAATTGATAGATAGATAGTTAGTTAGTTAAAGCTTATGACATCTCAACGAGACATATCAAGCTGACGCACTGAGCCTAGGTTCTCTATTCCAGTTGGCTTTGACCAAGGCTTGAGCCATTGCTTTAACTAACACTCTTAAACACGTACATCAGATAGTATACTAGTTACCAATCTTTAGCTTTAAGTTCTTCGAGGTTGTTATTTAGTTGGCTCTGCCATTCTATCAATATCTCAAAATCAAAATCGTAGCCAACAATTCTGCCCGGATATCTGAAGCAGTCCACGAACCATCGGACGGGACCAGAGCTGGTCCCGCAACTGTCTTTGGTGCAACCTTCTTGAGCGTCGAGATTGTTGTTCCATTATTAACCTGGACCTGGAGATTGTGTTTCCCATCGGTTGTCATCTTCAGGAAGTTAAAAGGCGGCTATCTGACCAGAGGGGAAGTGTTGTACTTACGCCCTGCATATCGAGCCTGAAATCAGTGGTCTTGCGGATAGTCCCCGGGTTATTAGGGAGAGCATTAAGGCAACTGTCCGGAATTTCGTTGATGAATCCTTTGAGTTCCTTGCTTGCCTTACCCATGATGGAGGAGGCGTGGATGATAGAAGATAGATGTAAAAGTCTTTGTGGAAAGATAGGCTAACAGACCAGTGTTGACTTGATCATCCATCATAAGAATCCATAGAGGCGAGATTCTCTTCTTATATAGATACTTCGCAGCCAACACCTCGCGGCCTGTAGCCAATAGCTAGGTACCAGTATGTGTAGGGGCTTCGAGGCAACCACCATCTTTTGCCTCAAAGAAACCCGACCAACCAGGCGAAACAGTGGAGCTGATTGCCTGGCCAGATATCCCGATGGTACTGCTAGATGTGTTTTGTGGCTGCATAGCATAAGTGCAGTTGCAATAACAATTACAATCACAATCACAACCAGCGACTACACCAATTGAGGACCTAATAGCTCATTAATAGTATTAAGGTATCAAGTAGAGAGGTATACAGACTGGCGGTAAAAAATGGTAGGTTACACAATCAATTTGCCAGCTCAGCTGGGTGGCCTCAAAATGACCGAAACCTGCATCCAGATATAATTGTGTGTGTGTGCTGTATAACTAAGGTACCTAGGTATTTCCCTTACCAAGGTACCTGAGGCTGCTGACACAGACGGCAAGGACACGGTATTCATTTTCACAATAGGCATTTACGCAAACGTGTGTGATATACCTTACACTACCTACCTAGGTATTACTCAGTTTGGACAAGTATACTAGGTAGCAGCCATTATCCGCACCTCAGAGCCTAAAAAGCCTGCATTCAGCAAAGACCGTGGTCGGAACTTGGGTAGCCCCATAATTTTTTTCATGTCTCAAGCAAGGTCCATCATCATTCGCGCTTCATCATCTCTGATTCTTTATCCTGCTTTTACAGTCGACAAAAGAAATCACATTACTACGGCATGCAGCAGGGAACGCAGGACGGCCTTGTGTGGCAACAGTCGGCTCTGTATCTAGAGCCAGTATGGACACGAGAGCCTTCCATAGGCGACATTGAGAACGTGTCCCGCCAACAGCTCAAGATACCATCAGGCAATCCCTGTACTGTCATATTCCATGCAGCAGGTCTCTTCAATAAGGTCTACCTCGTCCGTGCTGAGGAAAGTACTTTTGTCATGCGCGTTACCTTACCTGTCTACCCGCACCATAAAACACGTGCCGAGGTCGTCACGTTGAAATGGGTGCGCGAGAACACCACTATTCCCGTCCCCAAGGTCTTTGCTTTTGACGACAATAGCGACAACGAGATCGGCTTTGAATGGATCTTAATGGAGTTTATGCAGGGAAAATCCGCACGGAAGCGATGGCGTACCATGTCGATGGAGCAGAAGATCACCCTCACGAAGCGTTTTGCCACATTCCAGTTTGAGTTATCAGGTCTCGAGAAGCAAGAATCTGCGTTCAAAGGTATAGGGACATTGGATTCTCCTGAAATTGATCTACAAGTCAATTCCAAGGCGCCCGAAGCTGTCATCACACCCGGACGTATGGTGTCCCATGAGTTCTTCATGGGCGATCATCTTACGTACGACGTCCCAAGGGGGCCATTTCTCTCTACTCATGACTGGCTAAGTGCCCTATTGGTAATAATCATACGCCATCAGAACTTGGTTCTGGAGAAGTCTGAGGACGAAGACGATATCGAAGACGCTGAGGAGATCTTGCCAGTAGCGCAAAGCCTTCTGGCTCTGCTTCCTAAAATCTTTCCGCCAGATTTGAGCAGAACAGAGCTATCAGCTCTCCATCACCATGATCTCAACCTCAACAACATTCTTGTTGACGAACAAGGAGAACTTACTGCGGTGATTGATTGGGAATGTGTGTCGGCACTCCCTCTCTGGATGTTGAAGCAAGTGCCCAAATTCCTTGATGATGAGCCTCGCGAGGATGAGCCGCAGCGCGACAAATATGGAAACGAGACAACAGAAGAGGCTGTTGAAGAAGAGGTTAGGTGCAACGACCCAGACTATCTGGATAATGAAGGCAAAAATGAACTATACTGGATTCATAAGATGGAATACGAGACAACGCAGCTACGTAAAGTATACCACGCCAGATTAGACGACCTTTGTCCGGCTTGGGTCGAGGATAATCACTTGAAAGACGATTTCTACGAAGCAGTCTCGCAATGTGATGGATTGTGGAAGAAAAGGGTGCACAGGTGGGCGGAATGTATCGAGAAGGGCGAGTCTGTGAGGCTCAAGGACGTTTAGGGATAGAAAGTTTGCTATCTTGTATTTAGGGGTTATAACAGCCTCTAGAGTAACGATTTCAGACCCGCAGCCTCGAAGTTAGGGACTGAGTAATCAATAAATAGATATACCTTGAGTGTTCTGAGTTTCGAAGTGCACGTAGATTGGTGATGGTGTTAGTCCATCTTCTGAACAAGCTCTGATAAGTCCCGCAGCTTGGCGTTGTAAAGCTGATACTTGATATTTCTTTTGGCTAGAAACACAAACCCAAACTAACTACTTTTTGTTGGATGCCTTGCCTTGGTATTGATAAACAGCATCACGTACCGCCTCAAAGCTAGTGCCGGCTCTGATGAGTCTCACGATAGCAATGGCGTCCTCCAATTTTCCAGCATGCAAAAACTCTAAGATGGAACGATTCATTGCTACCTCTTGTTCCGTATCTTTGATTCCCTCCTCGAGTTGAGCTATCGCTACCTCGATAGGAACATCCAGATCCTCTATTTCTACTTGATGATACTTCATTTTGAATCTACTATCGGCCAAGAGAGTTGCGCTATGAAGCGGTAAGCACAGGAATAACGGATGACAGCTTAGAATCAACTATTTAAACACCAATAGTATCTTCTCTGATTTGGGATGTCGTGGTCATGGATGGGGCTTTTAGGAGATATTTGTCTTACTTGCGTTAGATTCCTTGCCCCAGATGATGAGTGCACTTGGAAGGATCTCTGTTTACTAGGCTGGACGATGCAGTAAAGGGAGAAAGATTGAATCAAGAGTAAAGAGGCGACTGAGTTCTGGGAACGTTGTAGCTTAAGGTCCAGAAGTCTCGCCGGATGGTGGAGAGACGTTGTCTCAGGAAACGAGAAACTCAAGAAGGGACGATTTGAGTAAAAGGCAAGTGACCCGTGTCCATCAGGCGGGCAAAAGACTGCATATTTAAGAAAGGTTTTCAGGACTCTAAACGTTACACCACTTATGTAGAGTTTGCAGCTCCGGGGCTTGTGATTAGACAACTCGCTATGAGGCGTGTTGTTGAAGAGGGCAACCTGGACTGTGATTGGCAAGCCATGGCGGAGCGTAGGCCGGGACTATATGAGTGAGAGATAGAAGCAGAGCGAGAGCAAGAATGACGTAATTGAGAAATATCTAAAGTCAATGCTCAGTATTATTAAATACCTAGGTACGTTGATTTCTTTCCTGATAATATCTTCTCTTTGGTGTTCTTCATCTCTAGAGTGGCTCTACGCCGCAATAGCTCAGTCACAGATTTCGCCTATCGACCATAGCATCACTTTGGGAGTTGAGTTGTCAACAATCAAACAGCGTAATTGGTTTAGTGGTAAAATTCTCCGTTGCCATTCGAGCAGCGTCGGGGAAGGGTTCGATTCCCTGATATTTAAACTCACTCTTTTGAGTGATTTCTCTTTTGGTTTATATTGTATCTATCATTTTTGGTGGTGTTGTGCCACTAGTGCTGACTGGTTCCTTATGCTTGGCTTCATTCTGCTCTACGTTGGTCCAGGTTCTGCCAAGAGCCCAGTGGCAGCAGTGCAGTTGCAAATCGACTGTTCCTGCCTTGTCAAGACTTTTGCTTCGCCCACCTTATGAGGCAAATATCGTCGATCCCAAGAATGAAGTCACAGAGCATGTCCTTTAGGGCACGTGTATGGCCATCAAAAGCAGATCCGATGGCTGTGATCTTAATGAAGCGGATATAAGCAGCATTAGAGAAAACTCAGCCACCTTCTGAGATAGGAAACGGCCGACGGAAGAGGAAAAGATACGAATAGAGTTGCAGGTTTCCCACCCTAAGCGATTGGCCACAGTCAACGGTCGCAATAACTCAAGTCAAGCCGGCTTTTTTAGGGGCTTGACTTAGGGAGGGAGGTGAATTGAATTAGGTCGTATTTTAAAGGTTAGGCTTAAATTAAATAAGCTAACTTATATAATATTAGTTAGATAGCTACAGAAAATAGCCCTACCTATTTTCTATAACTAGCTTCCTAAGTATTATATTATCTTTATTACCTTTAGATTTAGGCTATAATATTAATTTAATAATATTATTTTAGCTTAACTAAATAACCTCTTTACCCTAGCTAATTTAGTAAGTATATATAAAATATTATAAGCTATTTTTAATAACCTAGGATAGGTATATTTATATTACTTTTACTATTTAATTAGTTTATAGCTAATTTACTTAACTTTTTTTATTAAATATTAAGATAGTTTAGTAATAAAATAGCTATATAGCCTTACTTATTTTATATAAAAGGCTATAAAGATACTATTAATTTCCTTAAGTAAAAAGAATATTTTTTATATAGTAAGTAATTAAAGAGATTAAGGGTTTATAACCTTTTAATTTTCTAGATAAAAGGCTTTAAAGTAAGTATAAATAGCTTTAACCTTAATCTTATTATTAATTAAATAAATAAGGAATTTTAATTATATATTAAGATAAAGAATTATTACTACTTAATAAACTAGTAATAAGGTAATTTTCTTTTTATAGCTATATAGTTTATTTATAGTATTAGTAATAGCTTTATAAGCCTAACTAGCTATTACTTATAGAGAT